CGGCGAGAGCGCCAGGGCGAATATAGGGGGTCCAACAATAATAATTGTTTAGAAATTAAGGTTCAACAACAACAACAACAACAACAACAACAACAACAACAACAATCACTTTACCCGAACGCTCAGTGTTCTCACCAGTGCCAGGGTTTTCATGCGACGCCCGCCAATACCCCCACTTTGTGGGGGGGCAGTGCAAGCTCTACCAAATATCCACACGACTCTTCGCCACCACCCACACCCAGCTTCCCGCCCTATGACGTTCGGACACTTCACTTCGGGGCCTGCGGACGACCGTGGCTACTACACTGGCGTGGAGTACACACCCACAGAAGTTGTTAAGCCTACGTTCGTACACCCACAGAAGTTGTTAAGCCTTGTTAACCCACAGAAGTTGTTAAGCCTTCCACAGAACATCTGTTGCATATGATGCATATGGTACATGATACACATGCTACACATGATACGTACTCACAAGATAGTTGATCACATCTTTAGGGCAAATTCCTGAGGGATGTGGGAATACACAAGAGAGAGAGGATATGGTTGTCCCGATGGTTGTCTCGATGGTTGTCCCGATGGTTGTCCTGATGGTTGTGGTTGTCCCGATCGTTGTCCCGATGATTGTCCCGATGGTTGTCCTGATGGTTGTGCCTACGGTGCGATTCGTGTGATTTTATGATGCGCGGTGCTAAAATTCTTAAGAAGCCCAGAATGGTTTTTGGAGATTTCGGCGTGCGCGCGCGAAGAAAAAACGAATGTGTCCCGCATGGTATTATTTGACAGGGACGATGGCCCTGGCAGGTGCGCAACCGTTGTCGCAGAAGTTCGAAAAAGTTGCTCGCAAAAGCCCGTTTGACAGAAATGTTTAAAAAGTGTTGGTTTTCCTACGAATCCGCAAGAGCGCGCGGGATGAGATTTTGACATTTTTTTGGTGAAAAACCATTGGTTTTTTGATGTTTTTATGTTAAAATCGCTCCGAACACTAAGCTTTTGGAAGGATTTCGTCTTGCGCGCGCGAATGTCCACTTTACCTTATTTTTTGCAAGGGATTCTTGAAATTTGATTATATGAGAACAAGAAATGTCATTTTCTATTGTTTTTTGCAAGGGAAAGCGGATTACAACAAAACAACCGGATCCTGTACACACCCTCTTTTCTGAGGCTTCCTCACGAAAATGATGAAAAATGTAGCTGCGGCCTAGGCGGCGCAGGGGGGGCGCGCACCAGGGGGCCCAACAATAATTATTCTTTAGAATAAATAATGTTCAACAACAACAACAACAACAACAACAACAACGCGGCGCCGGAGGTCTGGGGCCAGCTCGGGCTCTCACTATGAGCCCAGGGAGCCCAGTGTACTCCAGATTTCGTAATAAAAGGGAGGGGGTCTGGACCCTCCAAGACAAGCCATTTCAGACCCCCCCCCGTGGGAGAACCCTCCAAAACACCGTCCCCAGACCCCCCCAGTGGTCAACGGTTTTAGTAGTCGTCCAAGTAAGTAGAAACTGGCTTGTGGCAGCAAGCGTTCATAGCGACGTTGATTTTTGATCCTCCTTTAATGTCTTCTCTCCCTATCCTTGAGACGCAGAAGTCTCAAAAAGTTGGATGGTTCAGCACATCCAGGAAACCTATCGCTGGACCGGCCCAGATATGGTTCCAGAAGCGGCTCGGGAAGCTGCGCAGGCGCCAGAAGCAGAGAAGCACCACGTACGGGCGCCGGCTCGGGCGTCCGGTCCACAGCCGCTCCAGAATCAGCCCAGGACGGCTTCCCGGGCGCCGCAAGCAGAAATTCAGCATTTTCGAAAAAAAAAATGTGTATTGGAATGGCCTCTTTTCGGCGCGATCGGAACTGCCCGGGCGTCCGGCCCGGGAGCCGGGCCGGGTGCCGGCCGGGCCGGGTGCCGGCCCGAGCTCCGGAATCGGCCCGGACGGCCTCCCGGGCGCCGGAAGCAGAAATTCAGCATTTTCGAAAGAAAAATGTGTATTGGAATGGCCTTTTTTTCGGCGCCGCCTCGGAACTCGATTTTCCGGCGCCCGGGCGCCGGCTCGGGCGCCGACCCGGGCGTCTGGCCCGGGAGACGGGCGGGTGACGGCCCGAGCTCCGGGAATCTCAGCTCGAACCCGGACGGCCCTCTTCCCGAGCGCCGGAAGCAGAAATTCAGCATTTTCGAAAGAAAAATGTGTATTGAAATGGCCTGTTTTCGGCGCCGCCTCGAAACTCGATTTTCTGGCGCCCGGGCGCCGGCTCGGGCGCCGACCCGGGCGTCCGGCCCGGGAGCCGCTCTCGGCGGCGAGCAAGAGCACCGAGCCCGAGCAAAAAAGGAGGAAGTCTCGAGCCGGAGCGTTGTTGTTGTTGGGGGGCCGGTTTTGGCGGAACCCCAAAACGCCTGAGCGTGAGCCTCAATTTCAGAGGAAATGCGGCCGGCGCCTCGGCGAGAGCGCCAGGGCGAATATAGGGGGTCCAACAATAATAATTGTTTAGTAATTAAGGTTCAACAACAACAACACCAACAACAACAACAACAACAACAACAACAACACCAACAACAACAACAACAACAACAACAACAATCATTTTACCCGAACGCGTGGTGTTCTCCCCAGTGCCAGGGTTGTCATACGACACCAGGCAATACCCCCACTTCGTGGGGGGGCATTACAAGCTCTACCAAATATCCAAACGACTCTTCGCGACCACCCAAACCCAGCTTCCCGCCCTATGACGTTGGGACACTTCACTTCGTGGCGTGCGGACGACCGTGGCTACTACACTGGCGTGGGGTACACACCCACAGAACTTGGTCACTTATTCGGGGCGGTGTACGTCCCGCAAAAAAACGAATCTGTCCCGCATGGTATTATTTGACAGGAATGATGGCCCTGGCAGGTGCGCAACCGTTGTCGCAGAAGTTCGAAAAAGTTGCTCGCAAAAGCCCGTTTGACAGAAATGTTGAAAAAGTGTTGGGTTTCCTACGAATCCGCAAGAGCGCGCGGGATGAGATTTTGACAATTTGTTGTTGAAAAACCATTGGTTTTTTGATGTTTTTATGTTAAAATCGCTGCGAACACTAAGGTTTTGGAAGGATTTCGTCTTGCGCGCGCGAATGTCCACTTTACCTTATTTTTTTGCAAGGGATTCTTGAAATTTGATTATATTAGAACAAGAAATGTCATTTTCTATTGTTTTTTGCAAGGGAAAGCGGATTACAACAAAACACCCGGATCCTGTACACACCCTCTTTTCTGAGGCTTCCTCACGAAAATGATGAAAATGTAGCTGCGGCCTAGGCGGCGCAGGGGGGGCGCGCACCAGGGGGCCCAACAATAATTATTCTTTAGATTTAATAATGTTCAACAATCACTTTACCCGAACGCTCAGTGTTCTCACCAGTGCCAGGGTTTTCATGCGACGCCAGCCAATACCCCCACTTTGTGGGGGGGCAGTGCAAGCTCTACCAAATATCCACACGACTCTTCGCCACCACCCACACCCAGCTTCCCGCCCTATGACGTTCGGACACTTCACTTCGTGGCCTGCGGACGACCGTGGCTACTACACTGGCGTGGAGTACACACCCACAGAAGTTGTTAAGCCTACGTTCGTACACCCACAGAAGTTGTTAAGCCTTGTTAACCCACAGAAGTTGTGAAGCCTTCCACAGAACATCTGTTGCATATGATGCATATGGTACATGATACACATGATACACATGATACGTACTCACAAGATAGTTGATCACATCTTTAGGGCAAATTCCTGAGGGATGTGGGAATACACAAGAGAGAGAGGATATGGTTGTCCCGATGGTTGTCTCGATGGTTGTCCCGATGGTTGTCCTGATGGTTGTGGTTGTCCCGATCGTTGTCCCGATGATTGTCCCGATGGTTGTCCTGATGGTTGTGCTTGTCCCGATCGTTGTCCCGATGACTGTCCCGATGATTGTCTGTCTGGTGTTTGCGAGGTTGTTTTGTGCGATTCGTGTGATTTTATGATGCGCGGTGCTAAAATTCTTAAGAAGCCCAATGGTTTTTGGAGATTTCGGCGTGCGCGCGCGAAGAAAAAACGAATGTGTCCCGCATGGTATTATTTGACAGGGATGATGGCCCTGGCAGGTGCGCAACCGTTGTCGCAGAAGTTCGAAAAAGTTGCTCGCAAAAGCCCGTTTGACAGAAATGTTTAAAAAGTGTTGGGTTTCCTACGAATCCGCAAGAGCGCGCGGGATGAGATTTTGACAATTTTTTGTTGAAAAACCATTGGTTTTTTATGTTTTTATGTTAAAATCGCTGCGAACACTAAGGTTTTGGAAGGATTTCGTCTTGCGCGCGCGAATGTCCACTTTACCTTATTTTTTGCAAGGGATTCTTGAAATTTGATTATATTAGAACAAGAAATGTCATTTTCTATTGTTTTTTGCAAGGGAAAGCGGATTACAACAAAACAACCGGATCCTGTACACACCCTCTTTTCTGAGGCTTCCTCACGAAAATGATGAAAATGTAGCTGCGGCCTAGGCGGCGCAGGGGGGGCGCGCACCAGGGGGCCCAACAATAATTATTCTTTAGAATAAATAATGTTCAACAACAACAACAACAACAACAACAACAACAACAACAACAACAACAACAACAACAACAACAACGCGGCGCCGGAGGTCTGGGGCCAGCTCGGGCTCTCACTATGAGCCCAGGGAGCCCAGTGTACTCCAGATTTCGTAATAAAAGGGAGGGGGTCTGGACCCTCCAAGACAAGCCATTTCAGACCCCCCCCCGTGGGAGAACCCTCCAAAACACCGTCCCCAGACCCCCCCAGGCCCCCCAAGATAGCCCGGAAGAGACCCCCCCCTCTCCTCGAAATGAGACCCCCCCTCCCTTTATTACCAAGTCTGGAGTATCAAGAGCTCCGAGCAAGGTCAGGACCAGACACGTGCCGAGATCTGGGCCTGGAGTGGTCCTGAGCTGGCATGGCGGGTGATGTATATTTGCACTCGAAGGCGGCTCTCCGCCGCGGGCGTGCGGGAGAAGAGCTCGGCGTGGAGCGTGTTGGTGTAGCCCGCGCCTTGCAGGCCAGCTCCGGGGGCGAGGGAAGGCCTCCCACTGGGCTCCGGGGGGATTCGGAGGGCCTCGGAGGGCCTCGGAGGGGAGCGGCCGTCTGAGAGGGCAGGGGGCTGCTGAGAAGGGCTCCGAGGCTTCCAAGAAGGTCCCTCGGAAGGCCGAAGGGGCTTTCCCCAGGCCAGAAAGACAATTATCGGGTTGGGAGGATAGGGTTGGGAGGATGCGGGGCACGACTGTGTCATGAGCATACACGGCATACGCGAGAGTACGGATGATATGATGATCTCTCCCAGCCCCATCCTTCCAATCCGACAACTGTCTTTCTGACTACGAGGACCCCTGTCTGTTTAGAAGGCCCCCCAAATCCCCACAGGCGTCCAGCCGTGCCCACGGGAACCTCCAGAAACGCTTGAAAAAAAAACCAGAGCGACGACGCGGGCGGCGACGTCGCCGTCGCCGTCGTCGTCGCCATCCTCGCCGTCCTCGCCGTCGTCCTCGCCGTCGTCCTCGCCGCCCTCGCCGTCGTCTTCGCAGGCGCCGTCGCCGCCGTCGCCGCCGTCGCCGTCGTCGTCGTCGCGGTCGTCGCCGCCGTCGTCGCCGTCACCGCCGAGCCTGTCTGGAACACCGAGCTCCTCTGCGACACCGCTGGCCCCCCGAGACACCTGCGGCCGAGCGTGGAGCACACCGGCTCGCCCGTGTGCCCCCTGCTCGGCGGGTCCGGGCGCCCCTGCTCCATGGCCGCGGCGCTGCCTGGGACATGCGGCCGTCGCGCTTCCGCAGCACGCGCTCGGCCAGGGCCGAACCAGCGACGGCCCGGGAGTTTGTGCCGATTTGGCGCGTCGTGTTGTTGTTGCTCTTTGGGGGGGGGCCTCCCACGGGGCCTCTGGATGACCCTCAGGAGCTCTGCGTGGCGAGTCTGGGAGACCGTGCGCGCCGGGAAGGTTGAGGATGTGCATGGAGTGTTCTCGCTACTACGGGGTCGCAGGGCCCATGTTTCAAACCGTAGGTACACGTCTGCCCGGGGGCGTATAAAGGCCCCCCAGCAGGATCATGGGTTATGAAGATATCGAGAGATCCGTCCCGAGGATCATGGGTTATGAAGATACCGAGATGATCGACAAAGGTGATGGTTTTGGAAACGACAGAAAGCGAGTCGCAAGATGTTTTCAAATTAGGCTTGAGGGTGCGGTGTTGGGGAAGGAGGCTGTGGAGTACCACGCGTTGTGGAGACGAAGGGAAGTGAGTAGAAGGATCGCTTCAAACTAGGATTTGAGAGGGAGCCTGTTGAGTATTGGCTGTGGTCTTGGAGACGGAAGCTGCGGAGTATAGGGTTTTGTGGGGGAGACGGAGGGGGTGAGTAGAAGGAACTTTTCAAGTTAGGCTTGAGGAGGCAGCTGGTTGAATAAAAGGCGTGGCGTTGGAGACGGAGGCTGTGGAGCCATGTGCATTGCCGAGGAGAAGGAGGGAAGTGAGTAGAAGGATCTTTTCACATTGGGCATGGGGAGGAAGAAAGCCTGTTGAGTAGTGGGTGTGACGTTGGGGGCGGAGACAGCGAAGCATTGCGCGTTGCTGACGAGGCAAAGGGAGGTGGACAAAACAGGCTTCCGGAAAACTCGAAAGTGACTGCGGGAATTGACACACACACACACACACACCCTCACTCTTTTCGGTTGGTCGTCGCGGGTGGGCGCAGCGCCACGCCGTCCACGCCCGCGCGCGGAGAACCGCACGCGCCCAGCAGTCCGACGAAAGAAAGGAAAGGAAGAGGCGGCCAGCCCGTCACAGGGGCAGTGGCCAGGAGCGGCGCAGGGGCGCCGGGGCGGCGGCCGCGGCGCGAGCGCTGGGCGAGCCGGGCGGCGGGCGGCGGGGCGGGGAAGGCGGGGGCAGCGGAGGGGCGCCGGGCAGTGGCCAGCGGGCAGCGGAGGGGCGGAAGGCCAAGGGGCCGGCGGCAGCGGGGGGCAGCGGCCGCGGCGCGGAGCGCCGGGCGGGCGGCGGGCGGCGGGCGGCGAGGCGGAGAGGGCGGGGCAGCGGAGGGCCGCCGGGCCGGCTGCAGCGAAGAGCGTGGCGGGGACGCGCGCACCGCTCGCGCGCGGCGCGGCAGAGGCGGCAGAGGCGCGGCAGAGGCGATCCGCTCGCGCGCGGCGCAGCCCGGGCTGCGGAAATTGCGAATGGTCCCGCATCTGGTTGGGGGAGGAGCAGCTGACTACTTACCAGACCACCCCAACCCAACCCGAAGACCCGAAGTTCGGGTTAGGGGGGGTAAAGGGTTCCACATGTGTTTTTTCGATACCGACCCCCCCCCCC